TCGTGTTTCTGTTTGACGCAGTGTATCTTTACCATGAGTTTGTTGTAACAATATGGGTGTCTTGATTGTGGAAGTGTAGGTGTTTGATTTGTATATTGTTGCACAGCCTGTGTAACTGCTTCTCTTATTATATGGTGCAGATTTGCGTTATTTTCAGTTTGCACTCTGTCATTAAGCTGATAAAAGAAGATTCAATTCATGGTTATTGTTTTGCTTTCATGCTTGGTGAGGGTAGTAAATTTCCCAAGTGAGAGAGATCTATGTGTTTTTGTCTGGGTTGGCGCATCAGTTTCGTTATTACTTATGTCTTGCTTATGAGGTAATTGCCTGCATTTTATTTTTGGAATTAATTTTTTTAGCATTTTCACCATAAAAAGTTTCTGTTTTTTGACCACTTTCTCCCATTTAGCTAAGGACTCGATGTCGTGCTCCAGCGTTTTTCATATTCTTTCGTTTTCTGCTATGTTATTTGGTGTTTTTTCTTCTAAATCACTTTGGCTCAATTGCTCTTGCAGTTCTTTGCTTTGAGCTCCATTTATATCAAATTCTTTCATTACGTTATTAGTTATGTTGTTAGTAAGATATGTGCTTGTATTATATATAACGTGAAGCTCTAGTTTAAGAAGAAAATCAATGGTTCTTTTTTTTAGTTCAGTTTTACTCACTCTCTGCCTTCAAGCTGACTTCTTTTTTTTTTGTATCATCTGAGTTATATATTTTTGTCGTTTGAAATTGATGTAAGATTTTACCATTATTACTTAGTATGTATTACTATTATTTCTTTTTTTTCTTAGTTATGCTTAGTATTTATAAGGTTGTATTAAACTGCACGTTTTTAGTATTTAATTACTATTAGTAATTCATAGATTGTAATAGGTAAAAATTCTAACTGTAAATTTTATCTTTATATGATGGGTTTTTCTCTTAATTGATAAAAAAATGGTGTCCAGTGCTTATGATACTTTTTTTCATTTTGGGATGAACGATACTTTTTTTTTTTTTTTTTT